AGGGGAGTTCGAGGCCGCGCATGGGCCTGGGAAATTCCCGACATCTGCATCCCACTCCCTTGATTGCCCGTTGTCCCAAAACGTACCGTCTTCAGTGCCCCGCGGCGCGCTATGGGCCTAGGATCCAGCGTTTATGGCGGGCAATACTGCCGATGGCCAAGAGTGTCGACCATGTGCCTTGGGGCGATCCGAAAGCTTTCTTCAACACGGAGCGGGTGACAGGCCCATACCCAAGCCGATTTCAAGGATCCCAAGCACATGGCCCCCCGCCATAAACCCTCGCTCAGTAATCCTCAACAACATGACTTGCTTTTTCTTGTGTGTACAAGTTTTTTCATACTTACATTGATTAGTGATGGACAAAAGTATACATACACTTAGTCCATTGAAATAAAAACAGTATATTTTTACTAACATTACATGAATTCATGTATATGTATGGCATTGTATGTTTTACATAAACATAAATAATAATGTATACGCTTGACTCTTTGCGATGTGGATCTGAGGACGAATCGCGATTAAGTGACTGACCGTCAAGTTTTCATCTCCGCGCTTGCACTGGCAAAATTCCTAAACAAACCTGATTCGCTAACCCTCGCTATGGGTCTTTCCAATCAGAGCTGTTCGTCTTTCCGTATCACTGTCTTATTCCTTACGCACTTAGCGTACCTGTTTTCGAGCGAAGAAATAAAGAAGGAAGAAGACCAAAAGTAGTCAGCATGCAACCTCGAAATATTATGTACATCGAACTTCGCACTAGGATATATTTCTGTTGCGCACGGCACAAAAATAACCGCCGGAAGTCGTGAGGAGACGACACGATTTATTGATTTGGACTCCACAGTCCTCGGTTTACAATTCTTGGAGCACGGCTCCGTTCGACGTTTAGTTATGAGTTGTGTTCTTGTAAATAACTGGTGCGTGCGGTGTAATTACTAACTTTATTTGATAAGTTGCGTAGAATCACTTTCGGGTAGCGTGACGTCGTAGCAAGAGAGGTATGAGGAGTATCAGAGGTATGAGAGGTATGAGAGGTATGAGAGGTATGAGAGGTATGAGAGCGAGCGTCTCACTGCTGCTCTTTTTATATTATCCTGTTTGCCCCCGGCAAGGGCTCTGGACACCCCCTGATTGGTTGACTCGCGAATGGGTTTTCCCAATCAGCGTTGTCCATCTCCTTCTCACCGCGTTGTCCCTTACGCCCTGAGCGCGTCCTGTTTTGGGACCGCGTGGTGATCGGAGTGGGTGCGTTTTTTTATGATGTAACGGCCTGGGTTTTCCTCAGGGCTGTTGCGCTCGGACTTCCGGCGTTCGGGTCCGTTTTGCGTGCCCTTCGGAATT